CATTAGCACCTCTAGTAATATATTTACTGAGAAAAATGGTGACGTGTTCAATACTTATTTTACCCACTGTATACACAACTAACGGACTCCAGCAAACGTGGTGTTTTAATTACGTCTGATCGAAAATAGACTTGATGAACCCTTTTTATTCTAATTTGATTATGAAGCTTGACTTAAATGTGGACATTACTTTATATGTTTGTTTGTTTTTTAATCATAGCATGCCTGGATTGTAGGTTTCTCTTTAAATAAACCAAATTGCATCACAGGTAATTATGTTTATAATAAATGCATATTTTCACAGCACACATTTTGACTTTGAGTGAAAATTAGATGCTTTTTTTATTATTATTATTTTATTTTTTTAATGGAATTGCTAACCCCAGTCCCCTGCTCCCCTAATAAAAAAAATCATCTAAGGTGTCTAACACATCAACATTTATCCAGATTAAAGAAGTTCATCCGTGATTAACAACATAGATTTGACATTTTGATGGTTAAATGATCTTCAGCATTGGACATCAGAATGTTGACTTTTATAATTTACTTCAATTTGATCATGACATAATTGTTTAAGAAYGAGTTTGTCCTTTTTTTAACGCTCATCAGGGGGAAAAAGAACATCTTTGTCAAAACATCAGTCACAGAGGAAAGACCCTGAACGGGGTTAAGTCCCACCTTCATTTTCTTTTTGCTTTCACAATCACAAATTCATTCTCAGTGAACCGTGCAAAAGTGCAAACTACTCATATTTTCCTTTGACAGGGGAACATAAAAACTTTTGGCACTTCTTAAAATTTAACCTAACCCTGTTTTCCTGTAATTGTTTTACACTCTCATAACTAATGAATGTCACTTTGTTGAAAGCAGCTGAAAAATGTAAGCGTGCACGTGGAATTTGCAGTATATACGGAGACTTCGTTTTGCTTTAAAATATGACTTCTGTTTTCCAAATTTGCACTGAAAAACKGAGTTTTTTTTCCTGCTTGCAGATTGTTTGTTTGTGCTGGTGTAAATTCTCTAGGACGTGGCAAATCTTAAAAAAACAAAAACGACCTATTCTGTTGAAGATGTTTTGACCTTCCAGCAGGAAGGGAGTGAGTTTAATCTGCACGTGTGTTTAGGTGTGCAGAGGATCTCTTGCAGTTTAAAGCACAGAACTGCAGATTCTTTAGGTCTGAATTAAAAGCACTCCCTGGATTGGATACAAAGCATACTCAACTACAGAATAGAACTTCATTTTTATTATTATTTTTTTATAAATTGTTGCTATTCAAACACTTAAGTAGTGGAGGTTATTATTATCATTTTTATTTTATTTTATCCCAATTAAATCTCATATCTGTTGCCAGGGAAGAAACCTAAACCATCATGTCCCAGAGTGCTGCAGGCTGATCGATTTAAAAAAAAAAATCAACTGGCATTTTAATCTGTTTTGGTGTAAATTGTAATGTAGTTATCAAGGTTAATTGTACTGTATATACTGTAATTGTAACCTTTGATCTCACTGAATTTCTGTTTCAGAGGGTGACACTGTAAACATTACTGAGATATAGAAATGCTAACCTATTTTAATACTTGTAACTCGGAAAGACTGTTTTTGTATGTACAGTATAAATTAAAGCCCTGCTGTAGTGCTGATGTGTTTGGTATCACAGTAACTTTATCAGACATTATGTTTAATTAATACTGCTTAAACATTTAGATGTGACTCATAGCTTCATAGCAGTTGACGTGAAGAAATTGCATTGTTTAAAATAGTAATTTAGTAATTTGTGGCAGTGATAGCTCTAATAAAAGTTGGGATTGAGGCCACACAAGGTTGTGAAAGTAAGTTATTGGAGCATTTTGCCTCTAAATAGGTTAATTGGTAGCAGGTCATTAAGTTGACTGCATATAAAAAGAGCATTTTAGAGAGGCTAAATCTATCAGAAGTAAAGATGGTCAGAGGTTCACCAGTCTGCAAAAAGTTGTTTCAAAATAATGGAACAGTTTCAAAATATTGTTCATTGATAGACAACTGGAAGGCTCTGACAATACGCATTTTACAGCTGAGTTCATAACATCAAATGTGTTTCAAAACTGGAGAAATCTACCTAAAATAAGGCTGAAAATCAATATTGGATTCCTGTGATCTTCAGTTTTCTGGGTTGCATTGCATTAAAAACAGGTTCGATTCTGTCATGAATATGAACACTTCAGCAAACCATTGACTATAAACAGTTCATTGGGTCATTCACTCTGGTTAAAGCTCTATCATGCAAATTAGTTGCGTGAAAATTGTTCAAAAATTGTCCCTTTTTTCTGGTGCAAGCTTCAAAATTCAATGTTTTCTTTGTTTCGTCGTGAAGGGATTTGCAAGTCGATGACATGTTTTTATTTACATTTTACACAAAATCATAACTTCTTTCTGTAGGGTGTTTGTATTTAGGAATATAAAAATTCTTTGCAAAAATTAGCCTGGTGAAATTTGAGGCTTGACAAATAATAATCTAGACTGATTACAACTTGTCAAGCCTCAATACACGTAAATCTAGTTTGTTGTGAGACAATTCATAAAACATCAGCCAGTTTAGGGATGTCAAAAACCTGAAATATATACTGCATTTGAAAACAGAATTTTAAAGTGAATTTCTCACTTTTATATTGCTGATAAAAATCAAACACATTGTTAAAATTTGATCATATTTGTGTATTTTTATTTATGTTTGTTTTTGTTATAGTGTATTTATGTCTTAATCCAGTCGTTCCCAAAGTTGGGGTCGGGACCCAAAGTGGGGTCCCGAAACATCAAGGTGGGGTCCTGAAAAG